TTATTTTACAATTGTAATAGCAGGAGATATAATTTGGCCTATCGGTCATATATGTAATACGTATTACCAATTTAAATATAGGATTTCCGATTTTAATATTGCAACATGTGATCACGTATTATGGTTATTAACAAAGAATTTTTTTATTTTTTCAGCTGATTATTTTTTTGTCTTTTCATTTACAAAAACCTAATAAAATAGAAGTAAAATTTTATTTTTTTTCCTTAAATATAAACACAAACAAATTTAAATTAAATAACTCAGAATTTAAATATAAACAAATATTATAGTTTGTTTACACATATTTCAAATTATGGTTTGAGCATTTTGGCCAAAGTAAATCTTGCTCTTTAATTGAAAGTAGTTCAGCAAGTTTGAAGCTGTTAAAATATTAATCTATATGAAAGTACAGTTAATATTTTTGGAGTTATTTACATTTTTACATAATAGTACTAAGTTACAAATTTTTTTTATCTTCAGAGCGTATTTTGGGCAGTTTAGTCAAAGTAAATCGACTTCTTATATTAATTAAATGTTTTTTGGCAGGTCAAAATCTGCTTGGATATTAATTTTCATGAAGGTACAGTTAATACTTGAAGGGTTATTCATGTTTTTCACAATAGAATTTTATTTTTTCCATTTTATCATTTTAGAGCGTATTTTCGGCACTTTAGTCAAAGTAAATCGACTTCCTATATTAACTGAATGTTGTTCATCGGGTCATAATCTGTCTGGATATTAATTTTCATGAAGGTACAGTTAATACTTGAAGAGTTATTCACGTTTTTCACAACGGTACTCATTCACGAATTTTATTTTTTCAGTTTTGTCACTTCAGAGCGTATTTTAGGCACTTTAGTCAAAGTAAATCAACTTCTTATATTAATTAAAAGTTGTTTAGCGAGTTATAATCTGTTTGAATATTAGTTTTCATGAAGGTACAGTTAATACTTGAAGGGTTATTCACGTTTTTCACATTCACGAATTTTATTTTTTTTGTTTTATCACTTCAGAGCGTATTTTGAGCATTTTAGTCAAAGTAAATTGACTTCTTATATTAATTGAAAGTTTTTCAGTGGGTCATAATCTGCTTGGATATTAATTTTCATAAAGGTACAGTTAATACTTGAAGGGTTATTCCCATTTTTCACAACGGTACTCATTCATAAATTTTATTTTTTCTGTTTTATCACTTCAGAACGTATTTTGAACATTTTGGTCAAAGGAAATTGACTTCTTTTATTAATTGAAAGTTGTTCAGCAGTCAAAATCCAATTTTCATGAAAATGCAGTGGAGTAATTTATATTTTTTATGATCATACTATACTGAATTGCAAATAAATTTACATTCTTTAATGTATTTTTAAAATTTAAATTTTTATTTAATATTACTTAATAAAGCATTATTATTTAAAATTAAATTTAATATTACAATATAAATTTTTCTTTATTTTTTACCATACAAAAAAATTGTATATGGATTATGGAATCTACATTTTTATATTGGTAATACACTAACGATCTATGAAATCGGCTGTAAAAGTCACAAATTGGACAGATGTAGCCAAAAATTGGCTATCCGATTTTTTGCCAATTTTTACTTATTCTGATTCTTTTTTTAACGCGTTTATTTATTAAGTTCATAAATGATTACATAATTAACATACTTATTCTGATAATAGGCAGTATATATAAAGTAAATTGCATGTATACAAAAGGTTAACAATAAATGTGAATAAATGAAACTTAATAAATAAATGCAATGTATGAAACATTATAAATTAATGAAATATATTAGTATTAAAAAACAGATGCTATTCTATTATTTGAATTTAATAATAAATATATGAATTTAATTAAGTACTTTAAAATGTGGAATATTAAAAAATATGGAGATTTTATTTTTTTATAAGCATACAGTATGAATATACAGTATAAAAAAAAGATATATCATTTTATTGTTTCAAAATATAAATGGATTAATGGAGTTTTTTTCTTTATATAAATCATGTTAAAATCACATCACAAAATATCTTTTACAAAATAAATATAATTTCGTCCATATTATGTTTCTATATTTTCATATCAATTTTTATTATTTTTTTTTTTGCCACTATTTTATTAATAGAAAATTTAAAAACAAATTTTTATAGTGATAAAAAAATTATTAAAAACACTAAATGAATAAAAGAATTAAAATGATGGAAAAAAATTGGCTTTGACTGAAAAAGAAATAATATTTATTTAAAAAAAATTTGTAATTACAAAAACTGAAAATAACTGGATAGCTGCATCATTCATTCCAAGAGGATGGGAATAGAAAAATTATTATTAATACAAACTAAGTTTTTTTGTAAAAAAAGTGATTAAAATTTCATTAACCAGAAAATTATATTAGCAATAAAGAATTGTGTATAATATGACCCGACCGCCAATCAAATAACATGGACAGATCATGTTACATACAGATGGTGGCCTAAATGATCCGGCCACTTTTCAAAATTAAAAAATTTTTATATGTTTTATAAAATGAAAATAAAAATTTAACATGTTCATTACACCTTCCTTTATTGAATTTTACAAAATTTTAATAATTAATTCTATTTCCATTCGCGAAAATAACAGCATTGACCCTCTGAGGCATACTATCAATTAATTTTCGATAATATTCAGGAGGGAGATCATCCCATGTAACTTTGACGTATACTTAACATTATCATCATATCTAATATTTTATTAAAATCAATACAAACTATTATATTTATATTTATCTTTATATTATTAACAATTAACATGTTACAGGATTAATTCATTTTGATCATTAAATATAATATTTCTTTAATAAAACTAATAAACTCAAAATAAACCATAAAATTTATTATTTGATAAATATACAAAATACAAATCAACTTTTTAATATAAACCCTATTATATTACTTAAAATATATATAAATAATTACTGAATAATGCAATAATTATATTATAACTCACTAACAATACCAAATTACCCTAGTTTAATATATTTATTTAAAACCACTTACACAAAGATCATCATTTTTATATGGGAAGTCTGGTCGTACAGATCAAAACAAGATCATGTTTATCGTTAATAATATATCAAAAACTCAGGTACATAAATTTTTAATTAAGTTTATTTTGACAACTATTATAATAATTTATCTAATTTATTAACTGAAGATCCTTTAGTATTGATTGAAGAAATGAGGTTAAAACATGAAGCAGAAATTAACCTTCAATCAAAACAACTTAATTTAGAACCTGAATTAGATAATTAACTTTAGTTAAACCATTTCAATTGCTATTATATTTACAAGATTTATTTGTTTAATATTTAAAAAGAATATTATAAAACATCAAGGAGAACAATTAAAAAAAAAAAATCTTTCTGTTTTAAATTTATTTATTAAATATCTAATCATATTATTATTTTGAATCAAGATTAACTGTATTAAACAAGGGAATATTAAATATTACTAGAAAATTTGTAAGTAATAATCTTGCTTTAATAACTTTTGATATTTATTTATTTATATCAACTGTTTCAAATTACAATGAGATAAATTCTAATTATTTTAAAACTAATGTGGGAGAAGAATTTTATTGTATCATCAAAATTTGAAGAATTTATTGCTTCATTTAGGATTTTATCAATAATAAAATATAATATAGGAAATAATATGATTTATTATATTGTTTCTTAAAAGATTATAAAAATTAATTATTAATGAATAACAGACAGAGCATATAGAAATTTTTGATAAAATGGAATAATTATTTGTTAAATGGTAATAAATAAAATAGATAAATATAAAGTAAATGCAAAATAATATTAGAAAAGCATTGGTAAATACAGAAAATTCTGCTTATAAAATATATAATATAGCTAAACTACTGGATTACTTGTGTATGGAAAAGCAAATCAGGGGAGATTTCGCGTGCGTACAGAATTTCGGGAGAATTACGACGCAAATTCATCCACACAATATATTGTATTACGCTCGAACACCGTTTAAAGACAATTCCGATTTTATGAGAAATAATCAGTCACTCCGCAAAATGACATTTTTACTAATAATTGAAAGTTGCGTAATAAAAAATACATGCTAAAACTTTCAGGAAAAACATGATTACGCAAACAACCCAACCTAAGCTCTGAGTCAATGCATACCTAATTTGCGTAATGTTTCGCCAACATTTGATCGGCACCCACATGTGACATCGTAATCCTTGAAACACTTGAAACATCGCTGACTCACAGTTCGTAGCTGACTCACAGCTTGTAGTAATTATTCAACAACCATTTATGAAAAAATATATATATATACATGACATATAATCAAAATGCCTCGCTGTCTCGATTCGAAGAAAATTCCAGGTTTAACGTCGTATCCAAAATGTTTTATTTGTGTGATTACTTTTTGAATTTTGTTTCTAACCCTCGATTTTCGCGTTTGCAGATACAAAATCAAAATGCTAGTAAATTGTTCCGTCCTAGGTACTGTAACTATTTTCTCAATCCCTTTAAGCGACAAAATTACTATTAAAAATGATGAGTACATCACAAAATCGTTAACTTTTGATATCCTCAAGAAGTACATCTGGGAACGGGAGAATAATATTCTTAAATACCTTACTAATGACGCTTCCAAACTGGATCTTTGGCGTGTTGATGTCGAAGAAGTTGTTGATGTTTTAACTGAAGACGATATTATACAGAAACTTGGAGGAAAAAAAATGAGTCCTCATTTTCTGTTTAGAAACCATTTTAATGATCAACTTTCGGAGGGGAAAATCCACATCATTATACAACCGCTACCACCCACCACTGGTAAGTGTCTCCCAATGGTTTACCTCTCGAACAAAGGAATGTTTGAGTTTGTTCCTGAACCTTTTTTTCCATAATATCGCCTACTATTAATAGAAATCCCTACTAAGAGACGTCGCATAGATAACTGGGTAGAGTATACTGCTAAAGATGGACTTGTGGACTTGCCACCTATTTTATCCACAATGCTTGCATGTGAAAAGTTCAGACCTGCACCTCGCAACGAATTTGAGAAATTATTGAAAGATTTACAAATTGGCCAAAATATTATGCTACCTTCACTTGGTCAAGAGCCCAAAAATTATGGAGAAGACTATCAGGGCAGGTCATTCCTAATAACGGAGCAAATGATAGAAATATGGAATATGCTCGCAAGTGACAGCGATAGATCAATCAAAAGGGTCTTATCTGGTCCCGTGGGTGTTGGCAAGTCATATCTTGCATTATTCCTTGCTGCAAAAGCATTTGCCGAAGGATGGCTTTTACTTTATGTTTCAGATGCAAACGAATTAGTAAAACCGGATGATGCTAAGATAGCAAAAGAAATCTGTATGCGCTTTTTAGCTCTAAATAGAGATATTTTAACTAAGAATCATTTTTATCAAATGATGTCTCTATTAAGCCGTTCTGAGGAAAATGAAGAAAAGGTGTATCAGACAGTGGCTTCAAACATAATGGATGATTTACTCAAGCAACTAAAAGAAAAAACACTTATAGTTATTGATGAACATAAAATACTTTTTGAGCCTGATCCTCCAATACCTCATAAACAAATACGACTTAATCCCCTAATGCATCTAAACGCGTGGAATCAAGAAAGGAAAGGTTGCCGTGTGGTAGTGACAGGCACAGCTCATGCAAAATTTGAGCAAGTTTACCTTAAAGATGGTATGACGAATTGGATAATCTTTGTATCTCCGTTATCCTCCGTTATTTTTAATAAGCTGTTAAGCATGAACAACGTTCTATCAAGTACAAAAATAATCAGAGATAAAGTAACGGAAATTACCAATCGTGTTCCAAGAGAGCTCATGAAGCTTTCAAATGGGCTTAACGATAATTGTGGTAATTCCAAGAATATTGACACTAGTAAGATTATCAACTTCTTAATTCAATTCGAGCAAGATAGAAACCTTGATTTCTTTAATGTTGCACAGAATTATTACACACACCATCTTAATCTGACCCAACGATATTCTACACGACATGCCCTTGCATCAATGTTCTTACCACGAAAAGAAGGTGATATTGATCGTGATCGTAAAGGATTTGATCATTGGTTTGTTGATCTTGGGCTCGTATATAGAATCAAATTTCGAGGCCGTGTTCAACATCATCCTTTGTGCCCTGCGGCTAAAAATGCTCTTCTTCAATTATATAAGTCAATACCACTTCCTCAACATAAATCTATGTGCGTCAAGGATGGTAATATGACTGGTATAGAATTCGAGGATGTTTTGTTCTAGCAACTATTACGTTATCCGGATGTAACTTTCACTACAACTGACCTTGTGGGTAAATTAAGAATACCATTAAACATTAAATTTAATTATTTCAAAATACTCCAAGATCCCCCTGAACGGATCACAAATGATGATATCCTATTTAGATGTTACGAGGGATATCCACGGTTTGACTTTATTCTCGGACGAACATTTATTCAAGTATCAATCTCCAATTTTACTGCAAATAACACTAAATCAGCAGATATCGAAAAGGTGACAAATCGGCTGATCTGTCACACATTTCGGCCAAATTTTGGAAATTATTAAAAATTGGCCATATATCTTTTACAGTCAAAATCAATCAGAAAAATCAAATTGAAAATTATTTGGATAATGCGTATGGTGGTAATCATCAAGCTTATATTGACTCATCAACTAAGAAATTCATAGTCACTCGTAATGGTCAAAAAGTGCATGACTTTCATATTGTTTACATTTGCGGTAAGTTGGGCAATCCTAATCATACAGGCAAAGTTAAGGACTTTCCCGATATATTACATATCAATTTAGATGAGCTTAATCAGAAATTATTTGGTGATTTGTTGTTGGATTAAAATATTCATTATTTCGTATGATTCACACCATCGGGAAATTTTTTCAGGGGGGATAATTATCACTATCGAAATTTATCATATTTTATCGCACATTCGCACTAAATAAATCAATGATCAACGCATTGTGAGGTTAATTTGCGATATGGAGCCCATTATTGCTTAAAGATATAATGCCAACTGAAACAGAAATTAATAATGTTTTAAAAAATTTACCGGCTGAATGGGATAGTCAGAGTGGATTATTTAATTATCAAAAATAATCAACTATTGTATTGTAAATTACAATAAACAATTTTTTAGTATTTATTATACGTAAATTTTGTATCATATTAGTTGTAAATCAGCTAATAAAAAGTTTAAAATAAAAAGGGAAACTTAAAAGCTTTTTGTGTTACCTTTTCTTTTTATAACTTTTTTATTTTTTATTTTTTTATGCGATTTTTTTATAAATATTTTTTTATACTGACTGCTAAATCTTGTTGCCCGATAAACTTTAGTTTACAACTAGTGGAAGAATTGTCTAATTAAAGTTTTCGAAACTTATTTTTTTTTCTTTAAAACGTTTTTTTAATATTTTTTTATTTATTTGTAGGAATCCGTTCCGACCAGATCCATAGGTACTAAGGTTTCGATAATAATTTTGAAAACTACTACTTTAAAAAATGTTATATTACCATTTTTTTTCTTCTATTGACTTCGCTTCAACTTGGATACTAAATAAGTTTTCATAAAAAAACGTTTTATTATATATATATCTATTTTTTTATTAATGTTTTCGAGATGAAACTTTAATTTTTTTTATTTGAAACGTTTTCTAACGTTTCTTATTATTTTCCTATTGTAGCCCTATAAAAAAATTCTGGAAAAAACTCTGATAAATGATCATTTTTCTAGTTTTTATTTATTCAAACATGTGATCATTTTTCTGAAAAATTTTTTATAGGGATAGGTTTTCCGAAATATCGTTAGAATTTGGAAACGGTAAGTTTCTCTGCGAAACTTTACCGTTTTACATATATTTCTAATAGAAACATTTTTTAACGTTTCTTTTTTTGTTTCTTTCTTGAAGGTTCTCTAGGATTTCCGTTGGGCACTGGAGATTGGAATGGTAAGTTTCTTTACAAAACTTACCATTTTTTTTTTCATTTTTTCAATGGAAACGTTAAATAACGTTTCTTTTTATTTTTCGTAGGTTCTTCAGGGTATTGATTAGAAGCATTAGGATTTAAAAACGGCAAGTTTCTCTGCGAGACTTTACCGTTTTTTTTTTAATAGAAACATTAAATAACAATTTTTTTTGTAGGTTCCGGAGGGTATCGATTAGAAACGTCAGAATTTAGAAATGGTGAGTTTATTTACGAAACTTAACCAGTTTTTTCATTTTTTAATAGAAACATTATTTAACGTTTCTTTCATTTCTTTTTTGTAGGCTTTGGTTGCTTGGGATTGAAATATCAAAGACGGTAAGTTTCGTGACTTTCATAGCGAAACCTACGTTTTTTTTTTATTTATAACGTTATTTAACGTTTTTTCTATTTCTTTTTTGTAGGTGTTACGAAATTTTTTAGTTTAATTTTCTTTTTAGGGTTATCTTATAGTATAGTTTATTTTTATATATATAGTTTATTTTGGTTTATTTTGGGTTATGAATTTATTAACGGGAATCGGATGATTAGTTAGGGAAAGTTCCGGTTGAGGCTTATTGGGCCAAAATTGACTGATCGACAAAATTGGCCGGAGGACAAAATTGTCCAGATGGCAAAATTGTTCTTTGGACATAATTGTCCCAAGTTTTGAGATGTTATATAAAGGATAGATTTGAGAGAGTGTGTGGATTTTGTATTAACATATATAAATTCTATAATACTGCAACATTTGTTTAATATTATAGTATTTGTATCAAGTTATTGTAATACTAAATCATTCTAATTTAATAGTATTGTAAATACACTTCACACATTATTGTATATTACTGTATGTTCAGTGTTATACAATGTCTTCTTAAAATCAAATTGTTAGTCTAATATTAAATACAAATCTACATAATTACTTCAGTCTTTTCTTAACATGCAAAAAATTTTTTTTAACATGTAAAAATTTTTTAATATGTAAAAGAATTTTTCTATATAAAAAATTTTTTTCTGAGGGTGCTGACTACCTTTCAGAACCCCTTCTTAGGCTTTTTTTTTCCACCTTTTTAAATTTTATTTTATTTAATTTTATTATTTATTTTATTTTGAATTTTCAATTCTTCAAAGTTCAAATTCCTAATTACAAACAAAATTTAGTATTATATAAGTAACAAAATTTCTAAACATAAATCAGAATTTTCTTTTCAATACATACACTATAATATATCCCGGCGCAGCGCGACGGGTTACGGCTAGTATATTCTAAAAGATTGTATAATGATCATTACAGTATTTTTATTGTGAAATAATCATTATATAAATAACACTATTTGGAAATCAATAAATGTATTCGTAGTGATGAACCAGATAAAAAAATGAGTGACCGATATTGTGAAAAAAATACAAGTTTTTTATAATAAAATAAAATATTCCTGTTAGGACATGAAAAATAAATTTAAATATAAAAACAATGTTTACTTAAAAATATAATTGTATTAAAAAAAATTTCGATAATATATTAAACTTTTCGTTACCAAGAACCGCAAATTTAAATTATATATTTTTCAGTTATTTTCATATTTCACAATATGTATCTAAATTATTTGCCATTAGAATCACAAATTACCAAAAAAAAGTGACATTTTTGGTATATGATTTGCCTAACTTTTAAGAATGGAGTCTAATTCTTCTTCTGGAAGTAGATCATAAATGTAATTCGTAAAATTCTTGTCAATATTAATATATTTGCATATTTAGGAAAGTTGGTAATAGAATTCAGACGAAATATTTGTTAATTTTAAGAATTTTTTAAGCAATCATTTGTTCAAGGATAAAGGATAAAAGGGATAAACAAAGGAATAGATTGCTGATGTAAGATTTGAAATTGGAGTTGAAATAATAATTCCATTCTTTATTTTGACTCATTTGGAAGACAGGCAATTAAGCCATAATAAATTAAATGATTATATTTCCTACTATCATTTCATAAAATTTTCAATGCAAAGTTGATTCAAAGTAAATCTGTCCCCTTCAAAATATTCGAATATAATAAAGAAAGGTTGAAGAATTTTAGCTATTAAAAATAAGAAAATTAACAACTGTTGTTACAAATATGAAAAATGTTGTTAATCAAACCGATATAATAAGTTGCGCGACTTACATCTGGACCAATTAAATTAGTGAACAGCCTAAATATTATTAGTTATTTTACATCATTTACATGTGAAAATTGAAATTCAAAAAATTATATTAAAGTAAAAATCTAATAATTTTAAAGTTTTCCATATGATAAAAATTTTTATTTAAAATTCTTATAAAGCTTTTTTAGTTTTAATTATGCTTTTTAGCTTTGAATATTTTTATCTTTTTTCAAGTAAAAGTTAAAATTTTTTTCAGCCGAGTCTTCTTTTAGGTAGTCAACTTTATTAACGACTTTGCAATGATATCCACAATATTTTTTTCTCTATCGTAAGAGAAATGAGAATTATTCAATGACTGGCATTATACAATAAATGTTCTTTTGGCCAGATACAGAACCCGTTCACATTATCAACGCATTATCGTTTTACCAATACTGTAATGATTTATCATACTGAGTAGGAACTGTTATAGTTTTATTACCCAAGATTTTTTATGTCTAATTAATCATTTTCTTTTTTATTAAAACAAAATAAATTAGGTCCTTATTATGCTCAAGAACAGCAGGAATTTCCAAATTGGAATCATGAGTGTACAGATGAAATTTAATAATTTTCATACATTAACAAGTTTTCTTACTGCTGCCTTTTTGAAGATAAGAATTTTTAGTTTAACTTTCTGATAGTTTAGTAATGCCAATATTTACACCTCATCTTATTTTAGATTAGCTTAATCTCAATTATGAATACAATTATGAAATTACAATGGATACATTAGATAACTTAGGTAGTAGAAAAAAACGTAAAAATATTTTTACTTTCATTATTTAAAGCATGTATTTATTTATATTTGAAACAAAAATAAAATAATTATAATTTCTTGCATTCATATATAATATTAACTACCTTGTTATTATCTTAATTTTCAGAAATTAAAATTTAATATTTACGGTTGTTGGTCCTTCGAATAATTTGTCTCCACAAGCACTCGGTCATTTTTATACCATTAGCACTGACAGGTGTGGATATTAAAGGACCCTAAATTTGTTAATGACCAGCATTGTAAAAAATCTGGTCGAATCAAGTTGCTTCATTCACATCCCGTTGGAAGTGCAAAAAGGGTGGACATAAATCACCACTAATTATAACTAAGGGGGATATAGTTAATATTTAGATTTCAATATATTGGGGTTGTCCTCAGAGTTTTGCTCCTGTTCCTCGTGTAGATTATTTTTCAGAAGGAGTAATTAATTAATTTACGATCGAAAAAATATCTATGAAAAAGTATTTTCTTTTTTATAAACCACGACTAGTTGCTTATAATTACAATAAAATGAATTGATAAATTTTAATATATAATAAATTGGAATGTTTTCCGAGTATCTCCATTAATAATTCATCAAGTCTGTAAATCCAAGGAAGAATTATCTTTTGGATTTTTTTTTTTAAACTGCATTAGCCTTGTGAATAAAAATACAAACAAATAAGTCCATGCATATATAAATTTTTTTCTTTTGGTTTCTTGATGGTAATACTGTCTCACATACAACTCGGAAATATCTACTCTGAAACAAATAATAAAATAATAACTGCATAATAAATAATTAATAAGAAATTAACAGCAACTTTCATTTCGAAGAAATAAAGCTCAAATTATACGATATATTCTAAGTATAATATTTTTATATATTAAGTTCGAATTCTAAAATAATTTTTGAACTCATTTAATATTAAAATCCATATGTTATTTAAAGGTGAAATGCAAGTCATTTTTGCTAATATAGTTTGACTATTAATATATAAAGTTTTGTTATTTTTAAATATCAAAAAGTATCATTTGCAATCTATCTAACACCTTTGATTTATACATATTGAAATGAAAATTTAGTGAAAATATGAAATTGAAATCAAAACTAAGATTTTGTAAATATTTTGTTTAACATACTAGGAAACGGGGAGTGTTGTTTAAGGGTTTATTGTTGTACTTCGTCACGTGCCGGACGGACAGTCGGACATTTTTGTATTATCTTTGCATAGAAGTATATAGTCCTTCGTTACACTTCGGACTAATAAATCATTATCAGAATAATTTGTTTTAATATATTATAAATTTTTTTAAACTTTTTGTATTCACAATTCTTTATAAATTATTTTCAGATATTAAGTTAATACGATTTCAATCCATAAAATTAACAAATTCTTTCCCAAATTTCCAAATTCTCTTTTGGTTAGGTAATAATCAACATTTGTGAAAGTTTAACTTAAATTCACGTAGATATTTAATTTCGTATTTTCTTATTTTAATCTTACCTATTATGGAGTAATTTACCAAAATTGAATAAATTTAATTGCCGATCAAGATTATTGTGTTTCCTCCGTGTATTTTAACTAATCTTTTTTTGATAATTTTGTTGCCGATCTTAAAATCATTGCAACATAAAATAACGTTTCACCACTTTTTTTTCATTTTTTTTTATTTTTCTTTATTATTTTTTAGTAATTTTTACATACGAATTAATAACATATTTTTTTTTGTTTAAAAATTATTTATTAAAATGGATGAAATTAAATTAAGTGATGATGTATTTGAACAAATAAAAGATTTTGATCATTATTATTTCCTGACTGAAGAACAAAAATCGTTAATTGATAAACTAATAATAGACGAAGAATTAAAAGAATGTTATAAAGAAAATGGTTTATGTAGAAATTGTAAGCAGCTTAATACAGGTCGTTGTTATTGTCAGCCATGTAAATCACAATATTTCAAACAAAATTTCAAAAATTGGACAAGTGGAAATCATGACGTTGATGAATTTATTCAAAAAGCACAATTAAAAGCTAAAGATAAAAAAAAAATAATAGAGTGGATTGAATATGATAAATTTGAAGATGTTGAATATTTAGCAAAAGGGGGATTTGGAACTACTTTTAAAGCAGTTTGGAAAGATGGTCCTTTTAGAGATTATAATATTCAAGGGGAAAGAAAAGGTGAAACAAAAGTCGCTTTAAAATGTTTACATAATTCACAAGATATTACAGCAGAATTTTTAAAAGAAGTAAGATATTTTCTTATAAATCTTAATTAGTCTTTATAAATGTTAAACTAACTAATGATTTTCTTTTAAGGTTGAATCAAATATTTTAGCACTTGATGATGATGATTGGATAGTTCGTTGTTTTGGTATTACCAAAGATCCAAAAACAAATAACTTTTTGATGGTAATGGAATTAAAAAATGGTAGTTTAAGACAACATTTAAACAACAACTTCATTTCACTGAATTGGGAGAGTAAGTTGTTTAATTTACAATGTATTGCATGTGGTCTTAAAGATATTCATAATAAAGGATTAATTCATCATGATTTTCATTGTGGGAATATATTAAGCGATTTTAAAGAAGATGCTTATGTTACTGATTTGGGATTATGTCAACCTGCTAATGTCAAATCCTCTCAAAATAGTAATAAAAAAATATATGGTGTATTACCTTATGTAGCTCCTGAAGTTTTAAGAGGAAATGAATATACTCAAAAAAGTGATATTTATGGATTTGGAATCATTGCATATGAAATTTGTACAGGTCTCCCTCCTTATTATAATATAGCTCATGATGAATTCTTAGCAATGAAAATTTGTAAGGGATTGAGGCCAACGTCTAATTATAAAATTCCTCAATTGATTTTTGACATTATTAATCAATGTTGGGATGCAGACCCTTTAAAAAGACCTAATGCAGAAGAAGTACGTGAGTCAACATTGAAGTTATATAAAAATAGTTATGACAATGAAGTGAATTCTGTAATTTATGGGCAAGTTAAAGAAGCAGATGAAAAGAATAAAGAGTCATCTTTAACAATTCAATCACCATTATCATCTACAAGTACGCTCTCATATATGACACATCCTCATGCAGTTTACACAAGCAGACTTTTAGATTTTAAAAATCTTCCAGAACCAAAAAATTCTGATAATAATGATTTACTTGGAGTAGAATATTCAGGTAAACATATATAGTTTTCTATAATAATTTAAATTAATTTTATAATTCTGACAACTAATATTTATAGATTCCTTAAAAATGGATTTTACTAAACTTGATATTAATCCTAAAGGTAATTTCTTTGCATGTAATTTTTTGGTCTATTAGGTTTTAATTAAACTATTTTTTTTTTTATTATAGATGAAAGAAATTAAAACACATTTAACTTTAAATGAAAATATTTTGTATATGAAAAAACATATCAAATATAATTTTATTTTGAACTTAAGGATAGTCTTTAATATTATTCTGGGATATTTGATGAAAATATAGTAAGACTGATAATTTATCAATTATTCATATCCGAAAGATTGTAGATTAGCGTTGTAATAAAATTAAAAAAATATTTTTTAATTAATAAATTTGATCACATTAATGTTTCAATTGTATTAATAAGTATCATATTTGATAAGCAAGTGAATTAAGCTTAATGTAAAAAATTACTTTTCAGTGATGTCTTTATACAGTGAAAAACACATACCCACTAGAAGTTTATGTATAAATCGTGGCTTGATAAATTATTTGTTTGTACGTTATATGATAAAAATGATTCTTTTACATCAAATAAATTATGGATTATTGCGAAATAAAAATTATTTTTTATATGATAGAAAGTATAAAAAGAGATTTAAAATATTTGAAGTTAAATAATCACTTAAAATTTTAACTTTTTTATTTTAGAGGTTGTAACTGATTAACGTTAATCGATTAATTACTTAACGATTAAGATTAAAATTATCTAAATCATAATTCTCAAATTATATAATGCAGCCCAGAAATAATACATATTCTCCAAACTCAAGTTTAACAAACGCGAACTTTTTTATTGATGCTTTAATAATAAGATTATTTCTACATGCAACTAATTTATGAGTAATAATTTGCAGCCAAAAAACAGCTTCTAATCGATTAGGTTTTAGAGTTTAAAACATGCACTTTGCATCTTGAGTTAACTCATCAAGTTAAACTTGAACTCAGAGATTCTTTTACATACTAAGAAGTAATGATTTAATTTTATGGATTAATATAATAACTTTAACGTTTAACTACATTTTTATATTACAATTTTTATATTTTTATTATTTCGTATAATAAAGCCAAGAAATACTTGGCAAATAAAAATGGTAGTGGGAACCTTTAGCAGATTAGACTTTTAATATTATTTTTTTAATGTCATGTGAAATTTAAAATATTTGATAGAGTTAAATAAAGGAGTAAGCAAAACAATGAAATCACGTGGGAAGAAAATTTATAAAGTAATGATAACAGCTCTTTCAACATTCACTATTCAAAGTAATTTAGAAAATACAAAGAGTACAGTATGATGAAAATAAACATGAAAAGATATCATAGGATTTTTGTTGAAAATGGATTTATTCTATATCTGATATAAATAAATTAAGCGTATTATACTCTTTAATAAAAATCTGTGATGTGAAATAACTAAAATAAATTTTTGTATTCTGTGAATTTCTTATTCATCCTATTCTATTTTTATTATTTAGAAAAAAAAAAGAAATTTTAAATTTTACGATATTGTGGTATGTAACATGAAAACGCGTGATAGATCTATTCCATATTTGGTTGGTTAGCTGTCGGGTCATGTGTACGTTTGTTTTTTCGTTCTTGATTTTTTTTTTGTATTATTATTATTATAAATCAATTTTTTTTTTATTTTTTCGGACGACCTTGGCCGTTAGAACTGCCGTTAGGCTCCATCACCCTCGTCAATGGGGAGTTTGTCCGTCAGATCAGTTCATACCAAAGAATAATTTCTTTTTTGATCCTTTTTTTAATATTCAGTTACTGAAAATAAAATGTTTTCATTCTTTTTATTTTCAGTTTTTTTTTTCAATATCGAGAATAATTTTTTTAATCATTTTAAAGTCAAAATTTTAATATTTATTCGATATATTTTTCTTTTAAATTTTTTTGTAAGTTCACCTGACTTCTCTTATTTAAAGTTTTCCCTTTTTTTATTTTTTAAAAGAAAAAGTCTTTATTCATTATTCTGAAGACTTGAACGAACCTGGATTTAGATACTATGTATAGATTATAGAGAGGTGTTGGGTGTAGCAATAATATACTGTCACATTTAAATTCCATTGTTTACATCATTCAAAGGCTAATTTTCCAATAAAAAAAAAATATTTTTTTAAAAGGGATTTCTTTTATGATAAAAAAATTTAATTTAAACCCTAATAATAGAAATTGTATAATAATAATAATAAAATGTGAATTACTGATACAAAAGTATTTTTTTTTTCTAATTCCTAACAAAAATAAAACCGAAAAAAATTGGTTTTTTTTTGAATTTTTTAACGAAAAAAATGAAATAAAAAATATTTTCTTGCAGAAATAAAAAATATTTTCTTGTAGAAATAAAAAATGATATTTTCTAATTTTCTAAAAAAAAAAAATGAAAAAAAAATGCTTTGCTCTAATTTTCTTAAACGACCCGATTCTGACGAAGTAACAATATATAAGCCTCCTATAAAGAAGATGCTGGAGAAAATTGATAAATTGCGAATTTTCGATCATCCTTGAAGGTAAAGCAAAATAATTTAATACATTCAATAAAAGGCTTAATCTAATTGGTTATTCAATTTTATGTTAGAATCGTGACAAGAAAAGCTCAAGATTAAGTATGACAAAAGAGGAGTTATTGAGACAACTCTTTCAATAGTAATGAATTAAGTAAATATCAAGCTGTGTTGCGAAAAATTAATGGCTTTCTAATCAAATTTTCTTGTGACAATATGGGCAAAATGCAATTAGCGATCTTCTATACTTAGTTTATGGTTTTTTATTTATGTAATCTGTATCATGAGATTTTATGATAAAATAAAATGATTTTTTTATATTTGCGAAACCTTTTTTTTATTTGCCAAGAAAACTTGATCAAAATAGTTACACATTGATGTCTGTATCTACAAATGAAGTGGTTGATATCATAAAGGAATATCAAACAAACAAAATAGAATATGTTTTTAATATTATAATTCAGCTAGAAAGAAAATACGAATAGAAGACCGATAAATTTTCGAAGTAACGGATAATGAGACGGAATGGAAGAGAATAGTTTGTATAGCAATAGGTAATGCGACGAGAAGGAATAAAATTCGAAGACATTATAGAATGGAAGAATAATGGAGCTAGGAAGACTGATTACTGAATATTTCGCGATTGGAAATGAAATTGTTCATAAAGTAAAGTGATTATGGAATTTACAATGCTCAACAATAATTTCACAAATCGAATGAAAGAAGAAAATAGAGAGGTTATTGAAAAGAATGTAAATGAAAAACGATTAAAAATATCCCACCAGGAGAAAAGCATCAAAAACGTTAGAGGGCTGTAAAAGACCGTGAGTGAAGAAAAGTTAAATATAAAATATACGAATATAACTTATGTCTAAGTCACGTGATTTAACGTTAAAATTTCAACGAAAGTATAAGTTTATTTTGTATATTTTTGGTTTACAATTAAGAGATTGGATGAAATAAAAAGAATTCGAAAGATTTTAGGAATAACGTTCATGATGCGACGTATTGTCGCGTAGTGGATTGGATATAGATTCATGGATGATATAATTTCTAGGATGGTTATTTAAGTTTAAGTGGATACTTTCAAGAGTTGAGTTTCTGGTAGCAACGTAAATTTGTTGAATTGGCGTAATAAATACGTTTAACGATTTTCAAGTTAGATAAGTAGAAACTTAGACTAAATTTATGTTAATTTTATATGTATTTTCTTTTCGTTTGTCTTTAGTTAGACTTATATAGAATTATAGGATAATTTAACGTTATATAGGTTGTTTTTATAGTTGTTTGTTAATATTTTATTTTAGATTACGAGGGAATTTATGGTTTGATTCTTTTTTTGACGCATTGGATTTATAATATAGATTAGTCCTTATCTTCAGATACATGAATCGATAAATTAATTGTGGATATAGAATAAAATTAATTAATAATAATACGAATAGAATCATTTCTTTTTTGCTAATATTTTTTTTGCTAATATTATATAATTCATATTTAAAACTAATATTATTATTCTATAGAATAATTTTTTTTATTGTTGATTATATATTAATATTAACGTTATTACAGTCAGCTCACCTTATAACGAAGTTAGCGTACCAGCCGATTAAGCCTTCGTTAAAAAAATTCGTTAATATTATAACGAATTATTCCGAAAATCTGGTATAAAGTTTTCCGCATCAGATTGTGTGATAATTGTACCGAAGTATTAAAAAAATTTAAATATTTACGAGATAGAATCTCAACCAGTCGACCGCAAAGATCTCCTGCGCTCACGTCAATGCATACACAACGTGACGGACATATTCCTCTTTGGATGGTTTACATTACTTACATCCGGGCGGATGTGCCGTCTTATATATTAATATATATATTAATAGTGATATGTTTTATAGATTTCAAATTTTGTTATTTTTCTTTTTTTTCTTTTTTTTCTGTTTATTTTAGTTTAGATTCTTTTATTTCTTCTTTTAATTCGGGTTTATACGGAACAGGTCATGTCTAAAGTTCCTGGTTTTTTTTTAGACGGGACGACCCCATCTGGATATAAATAGAGATAGGCTAGTTTAGTTTATCATATTCTAATTATTCTATGGTGACAACAGCATTCTTTTGTACTGCTGTTCCGTCGTTATATTAAAAATAAAAATAAATAAAAATAAATAAATTTAAATATTTAATAAAAAAATATATTAAATTTTATTGCAACTAATAATCTAAATCAATTCTTACATTCCTTTATAGATATGTATATTTTTTTTTATTAAAATTCATTATTATAAAATATACATGACGAATATGACATTTTCCATTACTAAAAATAAAGTAATTAAGAAAATCGAAATAATACCGCATTTATTACAATTTATTATTATGATATTATATTATAACAATTATAAAACTATTAATTGTACTATTATTTCAACTACTATTAATAAACTTATCAAGATTCATTTGTCTTACAAAAATGAACCGCCGTTTCAAAGCTTCTTTATGCAGCTTTTTAACAAACTTCAATTTTCTTTTTTTGTATCAAAACTATCTTCCTGTTGTTCCAGATACAAAATTATTTTATTATAAAGTTCAATTACTTCACTATGAGTAATTGATGATAAAGGATTAGAATCTAATTCTTCAATTTCATTCTCTTGATTATCGTCAAGAAGTACTGCTTTTAATATTTCTTCAACAGGTATCATTTCTGCTGTTAATTCAGAATTATCATATTGAACAAATTCATCAGCAGCTAAAGGATTTTCAAGATCAAGTTTATCAATTAAATCTTGAACTTCTTCAAGTTCTTTCGTACATGTTAAAAAGAATTTGTGTTTCGGCACCAAGATCCGAATCGTTTTCGTCATGTTCATCTTTAGGCAAAATATCCGCTTTCAGCCAACAATTTTCAATTGTAGATTGCGTAACATTATAATGTTAGTATCACCAGGTAACACGTTAAATCAAATTCGTTAAATGAAATTCGTTATGGGGTGGGCTGACTGTAATTATTATTTTTTTTATTTATTTAGTTATCATTATTATTCTATTATATTACATAATCGTCAAATATTATATTATTATTCTATAATACATTATTACAAATTTATAATTGTTCGTTAAAATTTTTGCTAATCGCTACAATCTATAATGATAAATTAAATATTAAGAAATAATATAATATCTTTTAAGTACTACAGTTACTAATTTCAGTTTTTATAAAAAACTATTATACGTACCGGTATAAGAATGATCTAAAAAAAAGCATAATAAACATACCGGATCAGCAAATTCATCATATACACTGTTGACGAAAAGTACGATGTTCATTGATTGGTAAATTTTTAATTGCCGCTCCAATTTTGCAAGTCCAAGGAAACAATCGGCAAGAGTACAGGATTGGAATTCTAATGCTGCAATTGATTGTTTAATAGACACACACGTCATCAAAAAATGCGTGGTGATCGTAACACTGATAATACTGCTGTTGAAAGAATTCCGGGTTTTTCAGATTATAACTAGATAAAAATATAAAAAATGAATATAGATGAAAAATTCTAATCAAATAAATTTCATAATCTTACATTTCCTAAGAGTGTTTTATGACGCATAATTGAATCTACACAATCATACAATCATACATTGTATGCCATCTCGTATCTACCCATTTTTTTAGTCCTCCGCCACTAATATCACAAGCTTTGGCCTCTTCTTTTAATGCAGAACCTTTTTTTTTTATTTAATTGAGAATGATGCTATTAATAAAAATATAATATTAACAAAATAAACGAAAATAAATTTAAATTACCTCCTTGATGGCTTTCTTCAAAATGTTACTATAGCATTACATTTTGTTAAGATCCGATTTGCAAATGAAGTAGAGCAAATATCTTTTGAAATCAGATTAATAGCATGCGCTATACAACGCACATTAAGAATATTCTTATACCGAGTTCGCCATCCATCACAAGCTTAATAAATTAAGAATAAAAAATAAATTTAGTTTTATTAAATATTAATTCAATAATATTATAGAATCTTACATAATGTTAGATTAGTTGTATTTTTTAATATCTTGTGTTTACAACTGCAGATTCTTGTGATAAGAGTTTACCGGGAAGTACTCCTTTGATGGAGGAGTGTATCCTGGGCGTAGAGTCTTCAAAAACTTGATGAAAAGCGGATTTTCAATTATATGCCATGCAATACTACTTACTGCAAATGCCTTTACACAAGCCCGATCAATTTCATGAATTTTTAGCTCAGTAAACGTGATACTTTCATGAAAATCAGATATTTTTGTCTGGATACCAGTATTATTATTAAGTTTTCGTTTTTTAGCTGTTATTTGTTCAAGATTAATGGTTATATTCCCTTCGGCTTTTGCAGCAAGACAATTCAAAAAAAATTGTCTTGTATTAGCTGGTATTTCTGAACATTCATTGGAAAAGTGTGCTTCCAAATCTTGTGGGAGCCTTCTTTCCAAAAGTAATTACAGTATGCGCAAGTTGCTTCGTAATGGCCTTCAGATATTTTTGCACCTTGAATAGCATGACCTCCCCATATCAAGGACTTAGGTCGACTTTTCGGTGTAATTATAGGAATTGCATTTGGAACAAAATTAAAAAAAAAGTAAAGGTTGATTTATATAAATGAAAGGAAGAAAGGTTTATTTACAATTAAAACGCGTTGTGTATAAATACTAAAGTTCTTTCGTGAGAAAATCATGAGCAAATGCATAAATTTAGCCACCAATTAAAAATCTTGCACGTGACAATTTTTAGTTTCGTCACGTTTCGTTTTCGGTCTATTTTTAGAACAAATTATTTTTGAAGCTTTGGAAGTTCAGGCAGTTTTCGAAATGGCCGAAACCGAAACTAAAAATTGGCGAAACGTTTCGCCAGTCGCAAAACAGTTTTGCCCGAAATATTAGACTACGAAAGGCAAAGTACCCAAATGGTATATAACATCTAATGATGGTGCCAGAAAATTAAATATAAAATTTAAAATGATTAATAAAATAGTGAGATTATATTTAGCAAAAATAAGAAGAAATCGAAAAGTACATATAAAAATATAGGTATACATTTATCCAATGCAAACGATGTAGTTTAAACATAAAAAGAGATAAAATGACCTATATAAATTTAGTAGGAAAATAAAACACATGAATGAAATAATTAATGAAATGAAATATTTTAAACCATTTGAAACATTAGAAAACATAAATATTAAAATTTAGCGATGAAAGAAGCAAATGACAAGATATTTAACAACGAAGATATTATTAACAAGAAAATTGATATGATAGATGAATTTATAATAGGTGATGTTTATAGCATCAATTACATAAAGGAACAATTGGATAATTTTATTAATTTGGTCCATTAATAATATAGGTCAATTGTAAAGAAGAAAAAACAATATCTATAGAAAAGGATTAGGTGCTAAAAGTACTTACCATGGGAAATTATTATTAAAGAAATCGATAACTGATACTGATTTAACGTGTATAATTATATACTACTAAATGTATTTGTGTATTTCGATTTATTTTTTGTATTATTACAATAAAATAATAAAGAAATGCGCGTTACTAACAAAATGTATATCATATAGCAATGTTTATATATAATCAGGAATTATGACAAATCCTATAAACTCTTATTAAGAAGCTAATACTGTATATATATTTAAATCGAAATTCGAAATTTAACGATAAGAATGTAAAATTTTTACAAGAAAATATTTTTTGTTGCATAAATTCATAGCCTTAATGAAGGATTATAATCAAGTAATACAAAAGTTAGTCATATTTTTATTATATGCGCGATTAATGTTTATCATTAATATTTATAATTTTATCTGTCAATACTCAATACATATAACGAAAAAATTTTGCCTTTTAGTCGTTATCTGGCTGATTTTATCTAATTCAGGATGTTAATTCCCGAACTTTAATAAAATAATCAATTCTATTTAAGTATGTGTAACTGGATCTCCCAAAATGATCACTTAATCAGATATAAAAGAAATTTTTTTTTTTCAATTTTTTTTTTTTTCAAATTTCGATTTTCTTTTTAGAAATTATGACCAGAGAACTTACTACTGAAGAACTAGACAAGCTCATTGAATTGTCAGTTAAAGGTATTAATAATATTTCCTTTAATCAAGTTACATTAAATATTAATTTGATTTGTGAAATTAGCCAAAGAAAAGGCTTATTGCCCTTATTCAAATTTTCGCGTTGGTGCTACGCTCCTCGATGTAGATGGGAATTGGCATACAGGTATTCCATTTCATATTTAAAAGGCTCAATTTATATTTTGAAATTAATTTAAATAATTCACTAAACGTAGGTGCTAACATTGAGAATGCTTCATATGGTACGTAATTTTATATTTTTAGAAAATAAAATTAGATGTTTAACATTTGTTTTTTATTTAGGTGGAGCGATCTGCGCAGAACGGACAGTATTTATTAAAGCGATTGTAAGTTTGATGGAAATTATAAATTATATTTTACCAAAACTTATGGTCTATCATTTTTTAATGATTTTTAACAGAGCGAAGGTCAAAGGAAATTTGTTGCCCTTGGTGTATCCACGTAAGACCTTTTTTTAGAACCCATCATATTTTTTTTTTATTCATCTAATCATTCTATGTATTATTAGTGATACTCGCCATTATGCAAGACCTTGCGGTATATGCCGACAATTTATGATCGAATTCGAAGATATTCTTCCTATTTACCTCATTCAACCTGATCGTTCTTATCAAAAAGTTATACTTAAAGATTTGTTACCAGATTCTTTTGGTCCCGAAATTATGAAAATGAGTAGAGTAACTGAAAATACAACTCCATAAAGAAATTATTATTTATAATAAAGTTGTTGTTATAATTTCACTTTTCTTTTTACTTGAAAATTCCTTTTTTTATTAAACATCTTATAATTCAAAATACTTTGGTATTACAATATAATTATAATATATACCCATAAGACCTGGTCTCCTGGATCGAATACCATGTCTGTTCATGACCATTCTTTATTATTTTAGAAATTATACCTGACGTAAATACCGTAGAGTCAGGGAACTGATTATTGTATCACAATGAGAAAACGTGATTATGATATTATAATGGTCTCACACCAATCAACTTGTGCCATCACTTCTATTAATCTATATATAGTAAAATATGGTAAATTCTAAAGAAGGTAATGCAAAGGGCTTTAAACGTGACAATCATTGAAGATAACACGTTTTATCTCCTTATCAATCAAATCAATCAAACACAGATACATGTTTAAAGTACGCGTTCGCGTTAAGGATGTTAATTCATATATATAGGTTATATAGCTGTGATATCATAACCAACGAACGAACGCGTAAAAACTTTTTTATCTGTTTATCTCTTATATCTTCCTTTCATTTTTTTTTTTTTTAAAAAAAAAATACCTCTTTTAAGAAAGACGATGTCAGAATTTATGAATATAGATGACCAACCAGAACTTACGGAACAATACTTAAACGATGTTTTTCCTGATATTTTTAAAAAGTTCCCTAACTTAGATTATGGTATGTTCTATCCTTTTAACAAACTGTACTTAATATTGTGCTTTTTTAGAAAAATCGTAATAATAATTTGAACGAGTCAGCATGCATATTTGATTCCTATCCAAGCATGGCTTTTTGTTAAATTTACTAGGAGCGAAACGAATATTTGGTTATTCGAGAAATAATTCATTAAAAAATTTAATGTTGCGTTTTCTTTACTATTATACAGAAAGCATAAGAAACGCGATTGAAGAAGCAGACTATGACCAAGAAATAGCAATTGAGGCCTTAAGTAGTAACGGTGATTGCTCAAATAGTTCGTCTTTTTCCAACATTCAGGATGACGATGATATGAATGTCGATGAAGTTACAAAACAGAAACAAATAAATGATGAAATAAACAAAATCATTGATGTATCCGTTAAAGTTGTGATAGAAGTAATTAATTTAATTTCATATCCTTTATTTTTCTTTTTTTAGAAATGTTAATAAATGTTTTTTTTTATGATTAATATAAAATTTTTCTTTTATTTATTCATTCATTTATTTATTTTGAAATTAGCCGTCGAAATATTCTACCAGTGGTATAGATAATGGTTACACTTCATCATCATCCTCTTCTGATGATGTTTTTAAACCAATGAGACTACGTACTTCCACTATAGTTAAGCGTAAAGTTGAACAAGATCATATTGCGAATTCTACAGCGAAAGATCCAAAAGAAAAAGCTGAAAAGAAACCTGACACTGGTATACATGTATTATTGATATCATTAACAAAAATACGCAATTCATACTAATTTAATTTTCGCCTTATATGAAAGTCAAAGGGAAGACGTATTTTTATGAATATAGAGAAGGCGAAGTTGAAGAAAGTGAATCCTTCGAGTTAATCGGAGAAGATCCTGTAGTTAACCAAGGAGCTGGAGAAGAATTTAACGCAGACAAAGCTTCTCTTCCATGCCGTAAACTCGAAGAATTTACTATTTACGATGCGAATCGTAAAAACAAATTGGTCAGCATCGAAGAATTAGATGAAGAAGGCCGTGAACTTCATGTTTCTGGTATCGTTAAACCAATTTTTGTTGGTCAAGATGATGAGGACCTTTATGATGAATATGATGATGATGACGGTCCCGTACGAGTTCCCGACCAATATTTTAGGACTAGTACTATTTTTTATTTTCAAATTGAATATTCGCAAGACGGACAAAGGTATTTTATCATTAATCTGGTTAATTTTTTAAATCAATAAAATAATTCCTAACTTAGTTTTTTTTTTTTTTTAAAAAAAAAAAAGCGAAATTTGGATTCGCACACAGTACGCGTTTTATAAATTACTTAACGCTTCCGAAGCCTATGTTCCGTACTTTATGCCAGTATTCAAGAAAATTCGTACGGCAAATGTAATTATTGAAGCTATTGCGAGTAATCCCGAAATTACATATGACCAATTTCTCGAATTATTAAAACAACCTCCCGTTGCATCATCATCATCGTCACTTAGTAATGTTGAAATAACAGAAAAAGATATTTTGAATAATATTGATTATATTTATCAAGAATTAGAAACTTGGGTTGATGAAAAAGAAGCTTTTGGTGTTCTTTTATGCCCCCTACTTACGAGTCTACAAAGGCTTGTTGGTAAGAAGAGAAAGAAACCTAAATATACTCACGGTGATACCGACACTGTAAAAACTAAACGCAATGTGAATCCTAATTTGGCTGTACTACAACATCAAAATCCAACTTGTGTTACTCCCTTTATTAACAACTTAACTAAAGGAATGTTCGCTAATAAGTTCGTTACTATTAGACATGATAATGAAATCGATCACGCGGACAAAAAAATTGAAGCTCCCGTAATTAAAAAACCTATAACACATAAAGTAATTTGGAGTGGAGATCAGATTGCCAAAAGTGATGAGATAACATATTATAATTGTGCTGTAGTCGATGGAGAGGAAATAACAGTTGGAGATATTGTATATGTTAGAAATGATGATTCTGACGAACCTTGGTTCGCCAAGGTTATGTATATGTTTGAGGATTCATCAAGGAAAAAGATGTTTCATTCTAGATTCTTTAATCACGGAAAAGCAATTTTTTTAGAAGAATTTGCTGGCGATAGAGAAATTTTCCTATTAGATAATTGTACCGATAATGAACTGGAAACTGTCATGGGAAAAGCTAAAGTAAAACGTCTTGACATTGATGAAGATGAGTCGTTTGACTTTGAGGATGAACATTTTTATTTCTATCGGTTAGTACAAATTTGTAAAAGCATGTTAAATTATATATACCTTTAATTTAATACCTTTTAATTGTAGATTTTGGTATGATGAGAAGTATGCTACATTCGAAGAAGCTCTGTTGCATGAAGATCAAAATGCTGTATACAATTACTGTGAAGAACATGAAACTTGTCATTCGTGTGAAAATTTTTATGCGGCTGAACAAAAGAAAGAAGCTAAATGGATATACCAAGATTCTCAGGATACTCCAATAGGTTTTACTTATAATGGAGTCGATTACCATCATAACGATTTTGTATATATTATACCAGATGAAGGAAGTGAGAATGTCCCCTATGAGATTGGTCAGATTGTTGAAATTTTGAACGATGATGAGAAAACACTCGTTGATTATTTTGAAAAGAAAAATAAAAAGAAAAATAAAGAGAAAAAACGAATTTCGAAACCCGTTGTTTGTGTTCGGTTATTAGGAAGATATGATGACCTTCTAAAATCAAAATTGTCAAATAAGATTTCAGAGACAGCAACATATCGTGATATTATTCATGATCCTCGTGAGGTTAAAGACTGTAGGAGACTTTTCCTTAAAGATGATGTAAAAATCATAAGAAACGTCAATAAATTAGAAGGCGTATGCTGGGTAGAACACAAAGATAGGATAAATAATCTTAGTGTATATAAAGATGAAATGGACACTTTTTATATAGACTGTAAAACTACGAAAAAACATCCTAATTTATCTGATCTTGAGAATATGAATGCCGATGATATACAGTTATGCGTTTTATGTAAAGAAAAAAGACAAAATTATCAAAAAGATATGTCTGAATTTGTTGAATATTTGAATATTCAACAAAAAAAACTGAAAGCAATGGACATATTTTCGGGTTGTGGTGGCCTTACGGTGGGTATGGATAGAACTGGTATAGTTGAAACTAAATGGGCAATCGAATTTGCCTCTAGTGCTGCTTTAACTTTTGAGTAAGTACTGCTATTTTCAAATTTTTTACCATTTACATGACTTTTTTCGTATAATTTATATTAACAATATATTACTCTAAATAGAATAAATAATCCTCATGCCGTTGCTTATAATCAATGTGCCAATTTATTGCTTGAACGAGCGATCGCCGAGCATAGTCGTAAAGAACAATTAAAACCTTTACAAGACTTTTTAGGTCGCAATGTTCCAAGTATGCCCGCCCCGGGTGATGTAGATTTTATATATTGCGGGCCACCTTGGTAAAAATTTAATCAATAACGGTTTTTTTTTTATTATTATTATATTTATTAACATATTTTGTTTATTTATCAATAAATAGTCAAGGATTTAGTGGCGTTAATCGTTATCAAAAAGCGGATGATATAAAAAATTCGTTAGTCGCAACTGCACTTAGTTACGTTGATTTTTATAGACCAGAGTTCTTTTTATTGGAAAATGTAAGAGGAATGTTAAGCTTCCGTTTAGGAGGAAAACAAGACGGGAACAAGATTTTAGGAGGCATTAAAATGGGTGTGATAAAATTCATAATAAGGTCCTTGACAGCGATGGGGTAAGTTGAAAATATTTATAATACCTATAATTATTACAATTGTTTAATGATTTCTTTTATATAAAAACAGGTACCAAACAAAGTTTAGTGTCCAGCAGGCTGGACATCATGGAGTTCCTCAAAGTCGTAGACGACTATTTATATGGGGGGTAAAACGCGGGTCATACCTTCCGAATTTTCCTCAGCCATCTACTTGTTTTTCGAAACAGGGTTCAATAAATGTACTACTGCCAGATGGCACGTCATTTACATATAACCATCGTACAAATGGGTATGCACCATATCCAGCTGTATCTGTTAGAGAAGCGATCAATGATCTACCAGAATTTGAATTCGTCAATCCTCATCAAGTTTATCCCGCCGAAAAAGAGGACAAGGAACTCCAACGCCCGTTTAGACAAATCGAAGTGCCTGAAAGAGGTTGGGTTGGCGATATAGAAACTGAATATGGATCCGAACCACTTTCTGAATACCAACGCCAATCTCGTAAAGATTGTGCACGTGTGTACAATCACATTTGTAGAGTATTTAATAAATTAACGATTGAACGTATTGTTCGTATAGCCATGTTTCCCGGTGCCGATCACTCAAGTAAGTACAATTAATTGAACGATTATTGGTTTTTTGATTGAATTTTAATTGATTATTTTAATATAATGTATTTAACAGGTCTACCCGAGAAATTAAAACCGTGGTGTCTAAGTGATCCCAATTCAGCGGCTAGTCGACATAATGGATGGAAAGGTCTTTTCGGACGTCTTGATTTTGAGGGTCATTTTGTCACGGCTCTAACAGATATAAATCCAATGGGGAAAACAGGGGTAGGTTAAGTTAAATGCAATTTAATTTTCTTATTTAATGAAGATAATAGAATTTCTAATCATTTATTCTGATAATATCAGACTGTTGTCCATCCTAACCAAAGAAGACTGTTGACAGTCAGAGAATGTGCACGCGCACAAGGTTTTCCGGACAAATTCAGGTTCTACAGTGATCGTGATGATACGAAAGATATGCACAGGCAAATTGGAAATGCTGTACCTCCACCGCTTGCCTATGCTCTTGGACGGTTATTAGTAGAGGCTGTATTCAAAAAACACATGGAAAACAAAAAGTTAAAAGGAAAGGGAAAACTTGTTGTCTAAATCACGAATATTGATTATGATATTGTATTTTATATTTTTATTTTTATATTTTTTTTCGAAAAAAAAAATAATTATAGTATAGAACTTTATAATTTGTAACATAATTTTCGTAATAAAAACTTTTTCTGTTCTGTCATATAATTGAGTATTAAATAGAGTTTACAGTATTTATTACAACACGTTTGCATTGCATATATAGGTATAAACGCTCAACTCAATTTCATACAAACATGACTTAATTAGCTGACGTACATTAGTAAAGGTTACGGTACATTTCGCCGAAGCCATTTCGCCGAAGGGATGTTTCACCGAAGGGACGTTTCGCTGAAAGTGCATTTTATCGAATCCATTTCACATTTCTCCAAATTGTCATTTCGCCGAAAATGGTAGTGATTAACGTTTTTGTCCGGAGGACTACGCACTATGAAAAAAAAATTGATCATGTGAATTTCTCTGTCAGTCACGTGATCGTCACCAAATCTCAAATTTTAGTTTTTCGCTCCGGACTTACAACGGTTCCCGTTTCCTAGTATAATAAATATTCATCACATAATGAAAATTATTTTTAGAGATTTTTTTTTTTCCAGGATCATCACTTTAACATTCAAGTAACAGATATTAATTGTTAAGCAATAAATAAATAACTTTATTTTCCTGAAAACATTTATTCACGAAAAAGTAAGTAAAAAAAAGATTAATGTATTATAATATTATGAACAACGAAATAAATTTGATAAAAATCAGCTAATTCTAGAAAAATTTCTTTATATATTTAATATAAAAACAGTAATCGGGTCAACCAAAAAAGTGAGTAATACGAAAAGGAGTGGTGTCGTCAACCAAAAAAGTATAAATTATAAATTTATTAAGCTCTTCTGCAACTGATTTGATAATCGATAACGTAAATTTTCGCGTACTATATTATTACAATATCGATTTCGCTCCACACTATACTTTTTTGGTTAACTCGACACCACTCCTTTTTCGTCTTACCGTATTTGGAGGAAGGTTAATAGTTTTTATATATTCTATGTTTAGTAAAGTGATGTACAAAATAATTTACAAATATTTCTTTTCTCCTTTTTGCCCTTTTTTCTTATTGATCGGATAAAAAAAAAGTTTAAAAAATTCCGCATAAACTTTTTAGCATAAACTTTTATGCAACATGAAGATGATCATTGTTTTACTAAGTAGTTTTTCTATAAAAAAATTTTTAAAGACAGAAAGCCAATTTCTAGCACAATTTTTCTTTTATACGGAATTGTTGCTTATATAAAAAACCTATTACTCGAATATAATAATAGGAATAATAAAACATGGTTGCTTCAAGCTTCATTAAAATATTTTCTATTGCTGTGCTAGCTGCTCTCTCAGTCCTCAGTCTCAGCTCAAAGAGAATGCCCCTCAATTCAAGCCGAAGATAATACCATCGAAAAAAGAGGTTTATCGTTATTTTTGATAAAAAAAGTCAAGAATGCTGCCGAAGATCATTATGAAATAATGAAAAAATGCTATAAAACACGTGTTTAAAGCATCATTAAAGGCGATGAAAGTAATAGTACTGTGTTGATCAAGATGCTATTAGGGATTTTTCTGCTGATGGATCTATACAAGGATATACCTCATATTTTACACCTGAATTTGCAAAAAGATCAAAAATGTTAAACTTGATGAAGAGGAAAGAAAAGTTAAAGTGGAGTTTTAATAAACGTTATTTTATAAATAGACAATAAACCAGTACCAAACATCATTGATCGTAAAATTTGTTTACCCTGATTCAGCTGGAAAGAGTGTAAATATTTTCATATTCGACAGTGGTATTTTACTTACACATGAACAATTTATGGTCATGGACGTTCTTTTTGTGGAGATTGAAGAAGAAATGTTATACATTGTCACTTTTGTTGCTAGTATAAGTAGCGAGAAATGGCACTATTATTGATGTTAGAGTTTTAGATGCTAACGGTGATGGTTCAACTGCCAATATGATTAAAGGTAAAATAAGATAACATGTCTCTTAGAGTAGTACGAGCTTTAAATCATGTTGTTAAGGAAGTTACTGATGCTGTTATTCACATAGCTGTTTCTGCTGGTAATGATTCTAAAAATGCTTGTGGACAATCACCTGCACCTGCACCTTCAGATTGCAGCAGGTTCTAAGTGATGCAGTTACAGATTTCTCAAACTTTAGAAAATGTGTTGACATTTTCGCTCCAGTTTACAAGTGCTAATATTATTGACAATAGTGATTAATTTCCTATACAAAAAACGTGTCTTTTCTTAATTAAAAATTTAATATCCAGATTTAATGTCGGAATGTAATGCAACTCAATGAATTAATTTTATGCAGTATTATGATGAATATTTTTGAACATTTCCTTTTTAATAATATTTTGATGCTAGTGTAATAATTTATTAATTTACTGTTTTCGACGAGGAAAAAAAAAATTGATCACAGTTGGTCGATTGCATTTAATCGCCCATGACAAATTATTATCGTTAAACTGTTATCATGGCTTACATTATAATGTAGATTTGACCGACGGGTACATTTGACCGATAAATGTCATCTAATATATAACTAATTTAGCTAACTTTAAAAGTTTGATTTTTTTTTTGATAATTAAAAACAAAAATTTTCTATATTGAAACAATAATTTGTTAAAATTGTTTGATTATTAATTAATGATAAATATCTGAAAATTCCTCATCGATATAACTAAAGAAATTCGTTTGTAAAGGAGAGTTTTAGATTACCCTGTATAAATAATTTTGAATTGCGCGATGTGTGATTCTCTGTGCCTGATCTATTCCATTTTTATTTTTGTTTTTTTATTTGACAGAGTAAATGTAGTTTCAGTATAAACTAAAGTAGTTCAAATCTAAAACTGTAAACCAAACCGACCTGGTAAAAAAAATAGCAAACTTCACTCTGGTGGATAACAGATACTAATATTTTTTTTTATTATTTTATACATATTTTTTTTTTATTAACTTATATATATATAAGCATAATATCGTCATTAATTACTTCGTCTTTAAACTTAGATCTAGATCGGTGATCGGATCGGTCAGATTGATGCTGCGGTCCTACGGTAAATCCTACGGTAAATTTTTTTCGTTCTTTCATAATCAAAACAAAATATTTTTAAATGTTTTGTAAGAATTTTTTAAAAAATATAACGTTAATATTATATATAAGATCCAATTTATCTAAATATGTCCTGTTATCCTGTTGCAACGCAAAAGGCTACAGCTAATTGTGATCAAATGATCAAGTGAAATTATCAAAGAATTTTTTTTTTTCTACAACTGAGAATTTTTATAGTTTCATTACCTCCACGAGTTACTGTATAGTATGTCTTATATAGAAATATTATTAAAACATAATATATTAGTTAATGTTGTATATAAAACTTCATAAATAGAATGTCTGAGAAATTGTCAAGAATGTTACAATATTTAATATGAAAAGAGAAAGAAACATTATTGCAAAAAATTACCTTCTGAACAATTAGCAATTGGATGTCTAATGTATTAAATCAATCGAGGTAATACAATTCATGTGCCAAGTAATCACATGATGTGCAAAAAAATACATCTATTATTAGAGGGGAAACAATGTATGTTCTATTATTATTCAATTATTATTAAATTTTTTTTTTACATTTTTTTTTAGGAAAAGAAAAAAAACTATTATTTTTTTTTTGTCGCCTTCATTTCCATTTATAAAATTCTACAGCATACCAATGCAGCAAGTATATTTATTATGCATTGGCGTGACAATTAGATTTGGTGAATCAAATTGCATATTTTAATTATTTTCGAGATGAACAGGGATCAGGAGCGACCACATTAGAATACACCTTATCGGGTCAGGAAACAAGCAGTACAATATAAAATCTGATACGCCAACACAGGAACACCAAAGTAGAGAAAATAAAATGCTAAGTGGCTTCCATTGGGAGGGACACTAGCTAAATCAAATTTATTTTATGTCAAACTAAATCAAATTGCACATTAATTTATGCAATGTAAAAATATTAATGGATCATGGTACACGTGATTAGAACGACAATTGTTCTTTGGTTATTATATATAGAACAAGAATATAGGGTTTTTTTCATAATTTTATTTATTAAATTTTCTTAGATAAAAATATTTGTTATTTCGCGTCAAACTCGCGAATAATAATAAAATAAACTTTATTTTACATTCCTTAAATATATTATAATGACGATCTTAACTAGAAATAAAACACAAAAAAATCGATATGTTACAATATCAAAATTTGAGATTGATCGTTGTTATAGATTGGCTCGTATTCAATTATCTAAAGAGCTATCATCTAATATCACCGAATCTTACGCTCGAACATTATATTCTCCTTCTTTGGAAGATATTGAATATATTAATAATTCACAAGCGTTACAAGATATTTTTTATACTAAATTAAAAAATAAATATTATTTTTTAAATAATAAAGAACAGACATTTTTATGTATTAATTTAGATAAAAATTATTATGAGAAAGATGGTGAAAGTGATGAATCTATTTCTAGTGAAACTACGAGTAGTGGTTATGATACATCAACTAGTACTTCTACTTTCTCGAATGATGATGATGATTATTCAACTATTGAAACATTTGCAGATCATGATATTGATTGGATTAGAAGTACTTTGGACGAATACGAAGAACATGGAGAAATTTGGGATCATCATCGTGGATTATTATTTTTTAATATAGTTGCTCCATTTATATTTATAATTTTTATGATTTTGTTAAAGAAATTTTTTGATTTCAATGATTGATTAAACTGCGGTGCGGTTTACATCTTGTATCATGTCCTATTTCATTTTTATAAATATCACATCGGCTATATTTCCTATGAAGTTATCATTAGACTATTCGATAGACTGTATATTCCATTATCCAATAAAATTGTTGTAACTGAAATTGAAATCTAGCTGATCTTTAAATTCAGATATATGAAATTAAAATTTGACGATCAATTAAATGAAATTGAAATTTCGATTTCAGATATCTGAATTTAAAGATCAGCTAGATTTCAATTTCAGTTACAACAAAATAACCGTATTTATTATTTATTTATGTATTTTTAAGTATCGATATCAAAAAAAAAGTAATAATTAAATAATACTAAATTTATTACCTATAATAAAAGTAGAAAAAATAGATACATTGGTGTTAAAAATTTTCGAAATTTTACCATTTAGTAATCCTGGAAATCTGGAAACATTATTAGTTAAAGTTTCTATCAAAGTTATAGTGTACTTCGATTATTTAAAAGCAAAATATCGAACAATTCATTAATTTAATAAAATTATTAAGAATGATGTTGCAATCCTTAATTATATATTAATTTGGAATAAAAAAAAAGAATCCAGAATTTTTTTTAATAAAAAAGTGACGACTGACGAGGCTCCTTTTTAAATTTTTAGTAATAAAAATAATAATTACCGACAAAGTGATAATTAATTTTGATAATTATTGTGTCCCTACCACGTCGTAACGATTAACTTAACGATTGATTGTCATTATATACCATTATCGAAAATTACTTCCTGTAATAACTTTTAATGATTAAACGAAAATTATTTATTTAAATCAAAGTATTTACTAATTACAACTAGTCTATTTATTTCATTATCGATACATAATATATCTAATCATTTTTTAAGGCTAATTTTGCTTTTTCATTAGCAATTTCAATAGCCTCTACTTCAGCCACTGCTTTTCTCAAAGCTATATCACGTTTCTTTTAAATTCATTTTTCGATCTTCTATTTCAAGCTCTAAACGCAAGCGTATTTCTTCAATATCAACCTTTTTTGATTGTGAATTATCACTTTCAAATTCATAAATATTTTCATCTATAGATTGGATTTTGGATTGACCATATTTCCTTTTTAATGAATTTTTATCTTCTTTATTCTTTTGATTTCGTTTTTCTGTAAATTAAATTATATTAGTTTTTTAACTTAAATATTAAATTTCAAACTAAGTTTACCTTTTCGATTTATTGCAAGCAGTGCCTTTTAACTTTGCTTTTATCTTGTTTTGTATCAAAAAAGTCTTGAATTTCGATTATTTTTAAATGACGTTCATCTAATTTTTGACCTCTAATTTTAAAAAATATTTAATAATTAAATTAAATTTTTACCTCTATAATATAAAATAAAATATATTAAATACAAACTGAGCTGTGTTCCAGTTCTATTAACTAGTGAGTGCGCAGCTTCTGCTGTGTTGGTATTTTTTCCATACCGATTCCATATTTCAACATCCATTAATGATGCTGCTAAAGAATTACCATATATCACAGGCCATAGTACCCGGGTATCTTGTAAATTTTGGGTTGGTTGACGCTGTACCGGGGATGTACGAAATTGTTTATTATAAATGAAGGGTTTTAAAAACTTGTAGTATATTTTTAAATGTGTCGCTTGGTAAATTAGATTGTTTAAATAGTAATAATCAAAAGAAAATGGATATTTTTTTCAGAAAAAAGGGAGGTACTATACATAAGGGGTACTATGGCCTGTGAATCGTTGCTAAAATATGATCTTTGATAATAGTCAATCAAATCTAATTAAAACAATAAGTTATAATTATTATAATTAGATTTTTTTTTTTAAAAAAAAAAAATTTTAGTAATATACCTTTCACGCCATCTTCATCAGATTTTCAGTATCTGAAAAAAATGGATTCAATTCCGCTTTGCTTTCTGCATCGGATCACTAAAACGTTTACAAAAAAATTGAAAATTAAATAAAAACAAAATAATAATTATGATTTTTGAAATTTTTACTTTTGAAAATGTACACGACATGACTTAAAGTTATTCATAATGTGAACCTCCTATTCGCGTATTGTATCTAAACTATGTAGTGCCAATCCCAAACCTTTCATCTATTCCATATCAAGATCTCCTAAAATACAACTCAATCCATTAGACCATTACCATGAATATGCTTAACTTGAATGGGCTTTCCAGTTAATTGTTTGATAATATCAAATAAAGTTATAAATAAGTAGCAATATCCATCTGAGGAATTCACATTTATATATTATAATAAGACAAAACTAAACAGAAATACATAATATTAATAAATTTTATTATTGTTTTTTTTTGAAAAAAAAATTAAATATTTGATGTTTACTTACTTAAATTGCGATAATCGTCATATGAATTTACTTAATATCCCCTTTAACACGTTAAAAAGACAAATCGATCTGAAAATATTCAAGACGTTGTAATAATTGTGCTTGTTTTTCAAGCATGCATACAATAAAAGCAAGTCTATTCCCAAAAAAATCTAGAGAAAATCAATTATTAATTAAACCATTATAACAACTAAAGTAATTAAATCAAATAAATCAAAGCTTACCAATTTTATGAACATAATTGTGAAGGTCAAATTGTTTACTATATACGCTTTGAAAACTCCTAGATATGTTGTCCAAAAGGATAAAGATTCTTGTAAGTTTTTGCAACTAAATAACGTAATTTATCAATATTGTTTAATGACATATGGATTTCTTGAAGAGTTTCTTTATTAAATATGCTTTTAGTATATTTCCTAAAAATAATTATAATTTTTGATTAACCATTTGCGATAATATATTAAAAATAAGTAATTTAATTATAATTCATTATTTTTAATAATACCTTGAGATGTTACTACATCATCTTTTTCAGTTGCTTCTTTAATCATCACTTGCAAATTATCTTTGAAGTTCTTTCGGAGTGGTGGTGGGTGATATGTACACTAACACATATAAGCGCAATAAATGGACATTCTTGAGGAATAAATTCGAACATTTTAACGTTATATGGCTTATTTACAATTTTATCTTGCATAACACTACCATCACAATGGTGAATATAAGCAAATAATATGTAATAATTAATTAATTATTAATATATAATTAACCAAATAACATACCACATTTTTAGTTCTAGAACCTTTTGAAATAATAGTAGAACATTGGTTCGCATTTATTTCCGTCTTTAAATAAAATAAAAAAATCAATTAAATAATAAAAATTAAATCCAATCAAATGTAATACTTACAATAGCCTTTCCATTGAATAATTTACGTAATAAATCAATATCAATTTTTTGAGTATCGATCTCTATATATCTGTGCCATTTCTCTTATGGCTTATAGTTAATACATCCAATAATCCAACGATATTTGTAAATAATCGTGTAAGTTTAGGTCGTCCATAACAAGTGATACTATTTTGCTTAAATTTATCAGAAATGTACTATAATTAAATAAGAAATCAATTAATTATGTTTAATTAATTAAAATTAAATTAAAAATTACTAACATATATGTATAATTTTCATTATTATGTTCATTATTATTTTATTAATTTGTTTGTAAATATCAGATTCAAAGTCTACTTCGCAATGTTCGATCAGAATCAGCAAAGGAACGATGTTTGATTCCTTGGCATTCTCTTACATATTTTGTAACAAAAATGTTATCAAAAAAAGGACACTTCTGAATAGGAGACCGCTACCAATAGAATACTGTATCTAAAGAGTAAATTCATTTTAATTAATTAATTAATAAAAAGAAATAAGCTGGTTTAAGTATCAACTTACATCATTAGAAGCATCCATATGATTTTTTCCATCCTTGTATACTAAAAACTGTTGCAACACCATCAGGAGATGTTGTAGGATATTCTATCATAGGTACGGTCGAATAAATAATGGTTGATACACCAAGATTTTTCGTAAAATATGCCATTCCTGCCTCTTTTATACTTTCATTATCACTACTAGAATCACCATAACATCTATATGATAAAATTTGATTAGTTTAAACTATAATTTTAACAAAACTTTTTTTAAAATTTACCTGAATAATTTGAGCATCCTTATTTACATCGTATATTTCCTCATCTAAAATCTCAATGATCTCCATTTTTTTTTATCGAAAGAAAGTTTTTGTACAAGTATTTTGAAGGTATGAAAAAAAGGTAAAAAGAAAATAAATTTTATGTGAACGCGATTACAATGATAAAGCCTCATTTTACGCGTGTAAATTTGATTTAAAAAAGGTATCATCATCACTTGTAATCAAATTGTTAATAACCCATATTTAAAAAAAAAAAAAATATGAAACCCAATTTTAGAATAAACTCATTTGTTATGCATAAATCACCGATTGTAGTTTTTAAAAATTCTTTCCATCTGAAGTGTGATTCTAACATTACTCCTATCTATAGTTACTTGACGGGAAACTTTATTAACTGTAATGATTTGAATTAATCAGTAAAAATATCAAAAAATATCAAAATTGATAATACGGTAATAATGAATTTTCATATATAATTACATACCTATTCCCCTTTTTTTCTCAAATTCTTTAAAATAGAAAAAGATCGGATAAATTTGAAATTTCATCAGATTTATATAAATTAATGTTGCACAATAAAATTAGGTGTGATCAACAATATATATTTGGTAATGTTTATCAAAGATTTTAAGATTCTCGATGATCGAAAGGGGTAAATTTTAATAAATATTACGCCATTTATACAAATTCAATTTTATTTATACAGTTACAGTATTTTCATCTGGAATTTATATCGCATATGAAATACATCAAAACTAATCGATCTAGTCAAAAAAAAAATACTATCAAGGTATAGTCAAGCATTATTAACAAACAATGCTTATTCATTTTATAATAAATATATTTCAAAATAAAAATTATCATCCTTTTTTTAAATCTGAGAATTTAACGAATTTAACTTTAATTAAATAATTGCATTAATAAATAAATTAGATAACAATTACTGACATTAATCAGTAGACATAATTTAATAAAGAATGAACATATTTGGATTATTTATACCCTATTAAAGGTTTAATAAAGCGATTTTTTAAATCTAAAATTTTGAAATTTTTGATGCATATCTAAATTAATCATTAATCTAGAAGTAATTATATCAGATCTCACAGCATATTTAAATTAACAAAAATCGTTAATAGATACCTTACGATGTTATTATAAATTTAAATATATCTTCTGACTCTTGGGAGGCTTGAAGTAAAGTGAGTTCGGTCGGGCTACGAAATAGATATTTAGGAGTTAAAGAAGTGATTACAATAGATAAAGATAAAGCCAAAGACCGATTATTAGAAAACATAAGCATCTTGAGGGCTTTTCGAAACAGATTTAAGTTTGAAATCACGATCTATATTGTAATTTTATTATTTTTGTCATGGGATCCATTTCGTTTAAGAATGTTATCTGTCATATAATTGATGTTCTTTTTTTCAGATTTTCTAGCACTATTGCAAGAAATAAAAGTTAAAGAAATGGCAGATTTCGGTTAAAATGATAAAAGTTTAAATTTATATTTGCGATAAGATAACAAAAAACTTTTAAAATATTCATCGCACAATGAAAATTATTTTTAAAGATCTTTTTTTTCCAGGATATTATCACTTTAATATTCAAATAACTGATATTAATTGTTAAGCAATAAATATTTTCCTGGAAATACTTATTCACGTTAAAGTAAGTAGAAAAAAAGATCAATGTATTATAAACAACGAGATAAATTTAATAAAAATCATCTAGCTAATTCAAAAATTCTTTTAGAAATGTACTAATTAATATAAAAACGATAAGGAATAAATAATTTTCTGCGAAATCTTCATGGCAAAATATCCATTCGGCGAAATGTCCATTCGGTAAAATGAGCTTCGGCGAAATGGAATTTTCTGATACTTTCGGTGAAATGTCCATTCGATGAAACGTCTGTTCAGCGAAATATCTCGGCGGAATGTCCTGATAGATTATATAGAAAACATGTAGCGTACGGTGAGCTATGTATAGTGGTCAATGTATGGCAACGTCCGGTATACATCACCCTACAGTATACATCACCCACCCTACAGTATGGTAAAAATGACCATACATACCGTACGTTGATCACTATACAGACATACATAGGCCTCTATACATGACATGTTTCCGTCGTACCCTCCTGATACCGTGTTTTAACTAAAGAAAATGAAAAGATTAAAATTGATAAAAAACTACAGTATCTATTACATATTATGTTTAGAAAATAAATAATATTTTTATTAGTGTTCCAAAATTCATTTTTATTTAAGAAAATATGTTATCTAGATATATTTTTTCAAATGATTTGAATAATTGAAAAGTACTTAAAACTCCCTGTTATGACTAAGTTAACTTGTTTTATTTACTGTAGATTATTAATCTTAAAAATTTGTATAAACAATTAGTTATTTCAGCTAACATAATTTAATCGATTTCTTTGACGCAAACTTAGAGTCGAAAATGATATAAGATTTTAAATTAATTTGCTCAATTACAAACTGATTTTACTTATGTTAAATGTGATAAATTACATTTAAATATTTAAATATTCTATTTTTATAATCAGTGTTGAGCAAATAATATATTAATTACAAATGTTTATATCGTATACATATATATATATTCAAGCTAAAGTAAATTATTAATCTTAGATTGCACAATCAAGACATTCCGATTTATAAACGTTTCTTGTGATAAAATTAAGTAATCGAGATGTATAAATAGCTTGTGAATGTTGTTTGTTTTTCTTGAAAGAGGAGGATAATTTTCTGTAAATTTCTGCTTCTTTAAATTGCTTTCTATTTTCAGTTACATTTGATCCACCTTTCTGAGATGAATTATATGAATTATATAAATTATAAAATGACACAATCAATTCATGTATTTCAATAGCATTTGGTCTATTATCTGGATTTGAATTCCAACACCTTTTCATTAAATCAATATAACATTTTGGTGCTTCCCGCTCATTTATTTCAGGTCTAATTCCTTCGCATATCTCTAATGTTAGATCATAATCATGTGCACGATTGTTAAATGGTTGTTTTCCAGTTGCTGTGAAATACATAATCATGCCAAAGCTATATATATCTGCTGCTTGAGTATAAGGTTCATTTCTTAAACATTCGGGTGCCATATAAGGCATAACTCCATAAATATTTTTTTCTTCACTCGTATTATTCACATCTTCACATAATCCCATATCTGATATAAATATTGATTTTTTATTAAAAGTATTTAAATCTTTTGTTGAAAATAATATGTTTCCTGGATGTAAATCATGATGAACCTTCTGATCTTGATGTATCCCTTTAAGGCCTGCAATGATATATAATAGTGTTCGTATTTTATTATACCAATTAAAATCTTTATAATTATTCTTTATCCAATCATTATAACTTCCACCTTCTGCATACTCAAGAACTATAATAAGTTCTTTTGTTTTCGGATTTTGGGATATTCCATATACATTAAGAACATCGCTCTTTTTATCAATAGAATATTCTTTAACCTATTTAAAAATATATATATTACTAATTATAAAAAATTTCAGTTAATCACAATAAAATTTATGAAAAATTCTCATACCTCATTTAAGAATTTATCAGTTAAATTTGAATTATTCAGAGATTTTAAAGCAACTTTTTTATTTATATCTCGTGTATACATCTTCTTATAAACATTATACTTTAATGGACCATCTTTCCATATTGCTGAATATACTGTAGCAAATCCACCTTGACCTACTTTCTTATCTTCATTGTAATTAAATTGATCATATGGTATCCATTCAAATACAATATTTAAATAAGAATTTATTCTACATTGCATTTCTTGAATTAAATTATCAAATTTTTCATTCCCATCTGTCCATATTGTATGTTTATTTATTTGACATAGTTTACAGCACATGAATTTTATACCAATTGATTTTCCACCACAATTTTTACAATAAGTTTTACCATATTCTTTACAATATTCATTTTGAAGAACTAAAATGTAATCTTTTTTAACTGGATTTTGAGATAATCCATATATTTTGAAGCTATTGTCATATTCCTTAACCTGTTAAATTATAAGAATATATTGTATTATTAAATAAAAAAGAAACTAAATTAGTACTATTTCGTACCTTATCTAGAAATTTTTGTGAATCATTGAAACATAATAAAGCAATTTCATATTCCCATATTGCTGAATATACTGTAATAAAATTGCCTTTGCCTTTTTTCGTAATTTTATCAAATTGATTATATGGTATCCATTCAAATCTCATATCACTTGGTTCATTAATTTTTAATCGAATTAAATCATCAATCTTATCATTTCCACTTCTCCAACTCATAAATTTACATAGTTTACACCATTTGTACTGGACATCAGTATATACTTCATCACATATGACACAATACTCTTCAGAAAATAGAACTAAAATATAGTCATTAGTGTTTGGATTTTGAGATATTCCATATAATACAAAAAGTTTGAGTTTAGTTAAACATTCTTTAGCCTAAACCATATTCAAGAGATTAATATTATTATTAAAAATATTATTAAAAAATTTAAAAAAAAGATATTATTATTTCATACCTTATTTATTATGAAATCTATGGGATTAGAGGTATGTAAACATTTTAAAGTAACCTCTTTATTTGAATTTCTTGTATAATTATCATTCTGATAGTATAATGGACCATTTTTCCATATTGCTGAATATACTGTAATAGAATCATATTTGCTTGTTTTATCAATTTTATCAAACTGATTGTATGGTATCCATTCAAATACTACATCATTATGGTCTTTAATTTCTAATTGCTTTTCTCGAATGAAATCATCAATCTTTTCATTTCCACTCCAATTTACTAAATTTATGAAATTATTATGAACCAAAATATAATCATTTGTATCTGGATTTTGAGATATTCCATATAATACAAGAAACCCATTATTTTTTGTTGAATATTTTTTAGCCTAAATATAAACAAAAAAGATAAATATATTATGTTAAAAAGGAGTATAAAGACTTTATAAAAATTTATACCTCATTTATTAAAAATTCAATGGGATCTTGTAAGTAATGTAAACATTTTAATACAACTTCTTTATTTGAACCTCTTGTATACTTATCATGTTGTAAATATAATGGACCATTTTTCCATATTGCTGAATATACTATCATGGAACCATATTTGCCTGTTTTTTCAATTTTATTAAACTGATTGTATGGTATCCATTCAAATACTACATCATTATGGTCTTTAATTTTTGGTTGTCTTTCATAAATGAAATCATCTATTTTTTCATTTCCACTTGTCCAGTTAAAAACTAAAATATAATCATTTGTATCTGGATTTTGAGATATTCCATATAATACAAGAAACCCATTACATTTTGTTGAATATTTTTTAGCCTAAATATAAACAAAAAAGATAAATATATTATGTTAAAAAAGAGTATAAACGACTTTATAAAAATTTATACCTCATTTATTACAAATTGTATGGAATCTTGTATATTTTGTAAAAGTTTTAATGCAACTTTTTTATTTGAAACTCTTGTATACTTATCATGTTGTAAATATAATGGACCATTTTTCCATATTGCTGAATATACTGTTATAGAACCATTTGTACCTGTTTTTTCAATTTCATTAAACTGATTGTATGGTATCCATTCAAATACCAAATCGTTATGGTCTTTAATTTCTAATTGCTTTTCTTGAATGAAATTATTAATTTTTTCGTCTCCACTCCAATTTACTAAATTCATGGAATTATTTTGAACTAAAATATAATCATTTGTAACTGGGTGTTGAGTTATTCCATATAATACAAAAAATCCATTATTTTTTGTTGAATATTTTTTAGTCTAAAATAAACAAAAAAGATAAATATAATATGTTAAAAAGAGGTATAAATGACTTTATAAAAATTTTATACCTCATTTATTACAAATTGTATGGAATCTTGTGTATTGTGCAAAAGTTTTAATGAAACTACTTTATTTGGATATCTTGTATACTTATCATGCTGTAAATATAATGGACCATTTTTCCATATTGCTGAATATACTATCATGGAACCATATTTGCCTGTTTTTTCAATTTTATTAAACTGATTGTATGGTATCCATTCAGTTACTACATCTTGGTAGTTTTTAATACTTAATTGCATTTCTTGAATAAAATAATCAATTTTTTTATTTCCACTTGTCCAGTTAAAAACCAAAATGTAATCATTTGTATCTGGATTTTGGGATATTCCATATAATTTAAGAGCTAAATTTTCTGTTAGTATTGAGTATTTTTTGGCCTAAAACACATTAATGAGAATTAGTGTCATATTATGAAATACTATTATAATGTAAATTTATAAAATCTTATACCTCTTTTATTACAAATTCTATAGAGTTGTATGACTTATGCAATAATTTTAGTGCAACTTTTTTATTTAATGGACTATTCTTCCATATTGCTGAATATACTGTAATAGAACTAATTTTATCTATTTCTTTAATTTCATTGAACTGACTGTATGATATCCATTCAAATACTATGTCATTG